GAAGAAATTTGTTTATTTTAAGAATAATTCTATTTGTTTAATAATTTATGTTTTATATCAAATTTTAACTACTTAACTATTAAATTTAAAATTTAAAATAATATATTAAATTTTTAAATTTTAAAAAAATTTAAAAATTATTTTATATATTGATTTGATAATTAAACAGTAACAATTTTGCAGGAAAATAACAAGGGAGCGTTTGATTTTGTTTTCGTGGATGCTGATAAGGACAACTACTTGAACTATCACAAGAGGGTAATTGAGCTTGTGAAGATTGGAGGTGTGATCGGATACGATAACACTCTATGGGGTGGATCTGTGGCGGCGCCACCTGATGCGCCGATGATGGATTACATTAAGCCTTTACGAGGTCACGTAATAGAGCTCAACAAGTATCTGGCTCAAGATTCCAGGATTGAGATTTGCCAGTTACCGGTGGGTGATGGGATTACCCTATGCCGCCGCATCATCTGATTATTTCCGCATCGTCTTTGATTCTTCATGAAGGGTTACCTACATAATCAGGTTGCGTGATGGGAGAAATATATACTATATAGATCAAATTCTCAAGATGTTCTACCATGTTTTTTATTATTATTTATTTAAATTCTACCATGTTTTTTATTTATTTATTTAAATTCTACCATGTTTTGATCTTTTTGTTTTTCTTGTCACGTTGGAGAATTTTCCTGAAAGGATGGATATATCTTATCTATCGCTATCGTATATTTAGCTTTGGAATAACTTTGCAAAATATTGATTTTAAGAAATTTAAGAGATAAGTTATGCTTAGATTCATATTTCCTAAAAAATGTGAAAATTATTGTTCAAACTATTCCATTGGTGGAATTGTTTCTCACCTTTGTTCTAACTTATAATGTCACATGAAATTTATAAATAGCAATTTTATTTTGCGCTAATGCATAAGAGATTTTTTACATCGCTTAAAAAACATATTGGACATTAATTATTATAGATATCAATGATGTTAAATAATGTGGCTTTCTACATTATGTTAGATATAAACCAATGCAGAATTGTGAAAATTCAATTTAGAAACACTGAATTACAACATGTGAAACTTCAAGAGAGAAGTTACACGAAGGTTTCCAATAAACTTTTGGTAAAGATTTGATTCGCGTTGAAACATATATTCAATCAGTTCAAAATTTCAACCGATAAATAGTTGTTTAAAACTAAAAAACTGAGCATTGCTTTAGTTGGTGTAGAATATTAGGCCTTCAACAACAATAGTTTATGATATAATAGGGTGTTTGTATTTGATATCTATTCAATAATTGAGTTCACTTTTGAATAAGCTCATCAATTATAAATATTTTTCTAAAAAGTATGAAACGACACATGGAGGCATGGCATTTGAGTAGTTGTTGTGGGATAGTTGGGTTCGCATGTGTTCTGGCATAAAGTATATTATTGATTAGAATAATCGATATTTATTCTATTGTAGCAATCAATAATAGTGTCACGAGCAAAATTTGTTTATAACGTAGTAAGTAAAAAATATGTAGCAAAATAAAAAAAATAATAATTGAAAACATCAACTGCAGTAAAAAGTGTATGATTTATATTTTTAATTCTAAGTATAAATATTAATTTAATATATTTTTCACCTTTAAATTTTTGTTTTCTTAAATCTCTACATAACTTTTTTACTCATTTTAATTTCTAACAAATATAAGTGCATATTATCAAAATAAAATTTTTATTTTAATGAAAGAAGAACATCAATCATATATTAAAAAAAATAACTTATCTAACGTATATATCCGTCAGAAAATTATCTATTGAAAATATAAATTTTTTTATGGATTTTTTTCGTCAGTAAAATCCATCAAAAATATAAATTTTTGACAAATTTATATTTGTGGAAAATTATCCGTCAGTAATTTTTTCTTGTAGTGGTTCTTTTTGTTTTTACTCTCACATTTTGGGTCCGGACATTAAGATCTTTTTGTTCGTTAAAATTTTTTTAGAGACTAAAACTAATAAAAATTGTTCATCAACTAAAAAAGATGAAAAATTACAAAAGTTTATCAACTGAAAAATTAATATCCTATAAATATTATCTATTATTATAAATAATATATATATATATCCATATATATATATATATATATATATATAATGCAAATACTATACATATGGGAAAATACTGCTATATATGTATCATATGTTTGAAACTCTGGAGGTTCTATTTGTAATTTTGTAGGTATTATTGTTTCTAATCCGAAAGATTTCTTTTTAAGAAAAAAAGGTTGGATACTTGTATCCTCATTTAATACGTTTCACTATTTGGCTGACAAAAAATAAAGAATAAATTTAGTAAAATCGAATTAGAAATGTGTTGCACTAACTTGTAGAACTTTGATAAACTCACTGTTAGAAAAACGAAAATTGTCACTAAAAATTGATACTAATTGCTATTTTGTTTCAATCAAGCCAGCAAGGATCTATTGTTTATCTAAATAAAGTGTGATAATGATGGATAAAACTTCTGTTATACAATACGATTATTCACATATTTAAGAATCCTAAATTAAACACATACCGTTATTTTATTTCTTGATTATATATAGAGAGTAAAATTAGAATACAATACTATAATTTTTCCTAATTAAAAATAAAAGAAATAAATCCTTAAAAGATATTAAAACAAATTGATAAGAATTTATAAATTTAAATAATTAAAGAATATAAATTCCTAAAATAATTCTTTAAATTTCTTTTCTTTAAGTTTTTATTTGAAATTTGAATTACTTTTTTTTTGACAGGTAATAGATAAAAATGTGTTTAGATCGATAAAAAAAAAAACTTGTCACTTGGTACGGACGCCCAAAACCAAAATAAATGACAATACAAAAGAAGGGAAAAAAATTTAATATAATAAAGGAGAAGGAAGTGAGAAGGATATTTCATTTTCACGTTCAAATAAAATACTGATGTTGACAATCCTGGTGTGACACCCTATACTCTAGTTACTATCATAGCATATAATTCAATAATTATAAAAATGAGATTTTCAAATAGTTCTATTGAATAAGATACATTCGCATGGGTAGAAACATCACATTACAAACAAAACTAAACAAAAGCAAAAAATTGTTAAAAAGTAATTACAATGGAATACAAATTAAAGCCTAATACCAATTCAACTAGCAGAAATAAGTCTAATCTAAACAATCAACTAAAAATATAAGTTCTTAGCTACTGCCCCAATGTCACATCTCATAAGATCATGCATAATACAAAGTTTAAACCCCGTCTTTAATCTCATTATCCTCATGATGAATCTTACTTGCAAACATATACCACAAGACAATAAAAGAAAAAAGAAGTTAGAAATATCTCACGCTGACTACCGGTGTAAGCTATGATCGATAGCCTTACACAATAAACAACAAGTATATAGTTAAGATCAATATATATCAATATATCTTACAATCACACACATTTAAGAATATAGCATATTCACAATTTACATTCAACCAAGGTACCATCATTATGTTTATGATAATGCAATGGAAACAAACAATCCTAAAATATATGCATGAGGCACTAGTAAAATGATTGTCAATTGTCAACGCCTAAAGGCTAATTAAGGGTAGCCTAGGAGAACATATCAGTCAAGCCATCATAGTACTCTATACTAGGATGATATACACTAGGGTGCATTGGGATAACGATCTCATCTAGGTCACATCGTATGTACACAATGGATAGAATTGAGACTCCCAAACTTGACTATCCCTAAGGTCATGAATTCTCAAAGCTTTTACACGAGGGAGACTTTCCTTAGCAACATATTCTGCATCGTACCCATCATAAAAATAACTTATGCACATGATGCATGTTATACCACACTTTATGCATACTCATACTCGACACATTCATCATAACATACTTATATAGCGTTCTCATTAAATGTATCATATACTTATTAATAATGCAGCAAGTACAATCGATTAGGCAATCTTGCTCAAAAAGTTAAACTTAGACTTCACATCATATGATCATAACATGGTTTATATACAACACGCTACATTATTGTTACATGCACAAACAAGCACATCACATCATCATCATGTATACCCAAATTAACAAGTCTTGATATTTAAGATTAAATCTTAACCTATTCACTCAAATAGGGATTAAATGACGTAAAAATATTAGATCTTACTCTAGTATATATAAATTAATCACTCCCCCCCCCCACGTACACGCACACATACATATACATCTATATGGGGAGAGATCCACAAAATTCATTCAATAATTTATGTTTTATATCAAATTTCAATAGTTAAACTTGTTGGTCCCGGTAGAACACGAATCTATAAGGGGAGTTGAATAGATTTTTCACTTAGATGACTTTCTATGTTCTTTAAAATGTTCTCTTATTTTCTTCTTTCTTTTCTCAATATCAATTAATCAAATTTAGTTTACAACTCTGTAAAAGATACAAATTATCATATTTTCCAAAGCGAAACAAATATTTGTAATCCAAATTGATTTTGAGTATTTTCCTTCTTTCTTTTATTACCAAATTGCATATATGATAAATTGAATATGAATCAGCAATTGATAACATTCAAAGAAACATTTTCTTGAAATTATTTTTAACATTTTTCACAAGAATTATATCAAGAGATGAAGGTTAAGAGATAAATACATAGTGATCTATATTGGTTCATCCATACAAGGGCCTACATCTAGTTTCTGACTTAGCACCCCACTAAATCAAGTCATTCCACTATAATATTCTTTACACACACCATGTACAAGAAATATTAAAATCAGAATGCAAATCACACAATCTTGATTCCATAAGATTTCATAATCACAAAATTCTTGCACCCCACAAGAACCCACTTGAGAGAAAACAATCTCAAGATTTCTCTTAACTCTTCTTGAGACACTCTATCTCAAAGAATAATACAACCCAATAGTACAAAAAAAAGTTCTAAGATCAGAGAGAATACACTTGATATGTGTAGAATGATCTTGAACAAAGATTAGCTCATAAACTTCTTGAAATCCTTCAAGAACTCATCTTCTTTAATCAATCTTTAGCACTTGTATTCTTTGTGAAAAATATGTGATATGATTTTGTTCTAAGAATTTTTTTCAGAGTATATATGATATCTCTTTTTAGTTTTGATCTCTCTTTTAAGTTTTTGAAAAGAGTTATATTTATAGTATATAGTGTAATGTCTTAAATTTTTAGATAACAATATTCTCAACATTATTATTAAGTGTAAGCATGACCATCTAGTCAGCATAGCATATTCATCAATTACATCTCAGCTCCGCAATTACAGCATAATTCAACAACTATCAGCATATAATTCAACATCATCATACGCGCCCGGTGCACTCATGGTCGCGCCCGGCATGGCACAACCAGAGAGTACCTGGGAACTAGCGCGTCCAGCGCAATTCCTATTGCGCCCGGCGTGAGGGAAGGCAGAGACCTCATGAGGTTTCATAAGCCCGGCGTGCTAATCCTGCACTCGGCGTAAGAAAGCAGAGACCTTCCCAGGGTCTCACGCCCGTCGCAATATAGATTGCGCCCGGCGCCACCTCTGGTAGAGACTCCCAAGGAGCCTCCACGCCCGACGAGACATAGTCACGCCCAGTGCCACATCAGAACTATAAAACTTGAGTAATCTACTGATACCGCGCCCAGCGCTGT